TTGATAAAATTCTTATATATTTTTCCTAAGGTTTCAGTAAGCTCAGGGTTAATTCTACTAAATTAATTATATCCTTCATTCTATTTTTTATTGAAATATTGAAAAATTTCAGTCTACACATTTTAACTGGCACTGTCTTTTTGCTTTTATTCAGAATAACTTTCTTCAACAAATACTTTTATGTAACAACACCCATAAAATAAGGTGATCCTATGGTTCTTTTATAAATCTTGACAAATTTAGATGCTGCAAAAACAAAGGGTTCAATTTCATTCTATTTGTGTAAAAAATATTAATTTATTCAATTTCTTAAAAAAGCACCTTCAGAACTTTCTCTCAGAAGACAAGTTGTTCTGTAGATCAATTATAGATTTTGAAAAGTAAATTATGGGCCAGCACAGTATCTCACACTTGTAATCCCAATGCTTTGGGAGGCTGAGTAGGGAGGATTGCTTGAGCCAGGAGTTCTTGACTAGCGGGGCAACATAGTGACACCCCATCTCTCCAACAACAACAAACAGCCACAAATTAGCTGGGCATGGTGGCACATGCCTATGAGTTCTTGCTAATACAGAGGCTGGGTGGGGAGGGTGGGAGAATCACCTGACCTTAGAAGTTTGAGGTTACAGTGAGATATGATTGTGCCCCTACACTGTAACCTGGGTGACAGAGGAAGACCCTGGCTCTAAAAAATAAATGAGTAAATAAATACATAAATAAATTATGTACACTGAACTCTCATCATCAAATTTCCTATTTTTGTTTGTTTGTTTCTGTGGATGTTTTAGTCAATTCTGTACATGTCTGCTATAACAAAAAAATAGACAGTGTCTTAAAAACAATAGAAATGTATTTTTCACAGTTCTAGAGGCTGGGAGTCTGAGATCAGAGTGCCAGCATAATTGGGCTCTGGTGAGGTTACAGACTCTCAACTCATTGAATCCTCACGACAAAAAGAATGCTAGAGAGCTCTCTGAAGTTTATTTTATAAGGACACTAACTATTCATGAGGACTTCACCCTCATGACCTAAACACTTCCCCAAGGCCTATATCTTTTCATAACATTGCATTAGGGGTTAGGTTTTCAACCTATAAATTCCGGGGAACATAAGCATTCAGTTCATTACAATAGAGAAAAGTGTTATTCTTTTTTTTTTTTTTTTTTTTTTTTCCATTTAACTTCCTCGGAATTTAGTCTATGTATTCCATACATTTCCAATTAATATAAAACATGAATGTCATATTTTTTAAACCTTTAAGTTCAGGGGTAGATGGACAGGTTTTTTACATAGGTAAGCTTGTGTCATGGAGGATTGTTGTAAACAGATTATTTTATTACCCGTATATTAAGGCTAGTACCCATTAGTAAGTTTTCCTTATCTTCTCCCTCCTTTCTCCCTCTACCCTCGAAATGCAAATCAAAACAACAATGAGATACCATCTCACACCAGTCAGAATGGCTATTATTAAAAAGTCAGAAAATTGCAAATGCTGGTGAGGTTGTGGGGAAAAAAGAACACTTTTACACAGTTGGTGGGAGTGTACATTAGTTCAACCATTGTGCAAGACAGCGCAGCAATTCCCCAAAGACCTAAAACAGAAATACCATTTGACCCAACAATTCCATTACCGAGTATATACTCAAAGAAGTATAAATTATTCTTTTATAAAGACACATGCATGTGTATGTTCATTGCAACACTATTCACAATAACAAATACATGGAATAAATGAAAATGCCCATCAATGATAGGCTGGACATAGAAAACGTGGTACACATACACCATGGAATACTATTCTATTTCCAGTTTTTAATTTCAATAATTTCAATTTTCTGTGTCAATGTTGACATTTTTGGGTAATTTTATTAGATTTCCAACATAAAAAAGTTTTTTAAAAGTAACTGAGTAAGAACTAGGTATGAGAGGCCTAGAAAAAAATTTAAATAAATGAGTAAATAAATAACAAATTTAGAAAAACCATTCACAACACATTTCAATCCCATAGTAGGACACTTAGATTGGCTTACAATGTTGTTTAGTAAAGTTTAAACTATTTCTATAATTTAACTGATGATAAGCAGCAAAGAGAGAAAGTGTAAAGCTTCATTTTAATGTGTATGTGTTTGTGTGTCTGTATAGAAGCTGTAGTATACAGCTTGGTATATTATTAGGCTGGTAAAATATTACAACTTGTTATGATTTAATGGAATTAATTCCAAATATATTTATATTTCATGCGTTTCTTAATTCTCTATCGTGACTTTTGATCTGCAAATACATTTTTGTTGTTTTGAACCACAAAGTTTGTGATAATTTGTTACAAAAGCAACAGGAAACTAATACACAAGTCAATTATAGAAATGACATTATATTTTCTTGTTTGTCATCAATGTCTAAACAATTGCCATTAGAAACATAAATTCAGAAAAACATAAAACAGATAGAGTGCAAAAAATAAAATATAAAGCATTTATATTTTTATTTCCCTAAAAGCATATCATTTCGGTCTTCATGGTTGAAATTCTAACTATTCAGAATAATGTTCAATAATTCTCCCATGTTTTACCATAGAAAAATTAATTTCTAAAAGTTTGAGTCCATGAGTTACATGAAAATATAATTACTATTGTGCTTAATAAAACTTTGTATTTGAAATAACTGTTGAGACTAATTTGAACCACACATCATTTAACTGTTTGCAAAGTTTTTTTGAAAATAGACCTACTCCATAAACAGTTGTCCCTATACTGTTTTCATGCACACAAGAAAACCTGAGATTGAAAAAGAAGGAAAATAATTTTGAGTAGTCATTTATTCTAAATGAAAAGTCACATTTCAGTGAAACCTGTTTTCCATGACTATATGAATTAAACCAACATCTATTAATACTGACATGGTTTTCCTTTTAAAAGTACTAATCGTTAAACTCATGCTGATATTTTTTTTCTGAAGATTTATTACCTAGCTTTTATGGGGTTTGTAATATTTATATGGCCCCACATATGCTAGATGAGAAATATCAAGAAATACTTTGTGCAAGTTTTATGTTCATTGTCAATTGTTATTACTGAATTTTTTTATTAAACACCTATTCTTTAGAATTAAATATTTTTGGTTCATTGTTGCTAAAAAGAGTTTATCGCAAAATGGGCAAACAATCAATGAAACAAATTAGTAGTCAATATTCATCATAAATATATGATATCATCTTCAGCCTCTATTTCTTATACATATTTCATGTACATATACTTTCCTACGTTCCATATAGCCCTTACTAAGTGGAGGCTTAGCAATTTGAAACTCACAGGCGATGGGACAAGGCAGACACACCTGGCTGAGACATGTTATTTTTCGTCTTTTTAATAATGACTATTCCAACTGGTGTAAATTTATTTCTCATTGTAATTTTAATTTGCCTTTATCTGTTGCTTAGCAATGTTGAGCATTTATTTTTATGACTGTGGAACAAATAGGTGTCAATGCACAGGAGATATTTGAAAACACTAATTTGCAGTGCAGGGGAGTTCTGAAATACAGAAATATAAATTTTAAAATTTTCAGCATATGGGCAGTCAATGAAACCACTTGAGATGAAAGATCTGGCAAGGCATTTTCAGCATTAATATTTGTTGAACACGTTATTGGCCGTTTCTAGAGATAGGATGAATCGCATTTGTTTAGACATTGATGATAAACAAGAAAATATAATGTCATAACTATAATTGACTTGTGTATTAGTTTCTTGTTGCTGCTGTAACAAATTATCACAAACTTTGTGGTTCAAAACAACAGAAATGTATTCTCTCATGGTTTTGCATGCTCAAAATATTGTCCAAAGTATGTACCACTGGGTTTAAATCAAGATGGCTACATTCCGTCTGGAGGCTCAAAGGGAGATTTTGTTCCTTTCCTCTCTCAACTTCTAATGGCTGCAGACATTCTTTGGCTCAAAGCTGTGTCACTCTAGTCATGGCTTTGGTCATCACATTGCCTTCTTTTTTTCTTCCTCTGCCGTAAAATATCCCTCTACTTCCCTTTTATAAGAATGCATGTGATTCCATTTAGAGTCTACTCTGTTAATCCATGATAATGTCTCCAACTCAAGATCTTTAATGTAATCACATCTACATAACCTTTTGTTGTCAGATAAAATAACATTCACAGGTTCCAGAAATTAGGGCATGGATATCTTTTTGGGGGGATTGGGGAGGTTGGTTATTATCAGTGTACTATGATTTTATCTTTCTAATCTACATCAAGATAGGAATTTTTTATCCTATCTCTATCCTCACTCCCTTGAAATGTAGGTATTCAGAGAAATATAAATATGCTATTTTTTTTAAGAGTTGGGATCTCACTATGTTGCCCAGATTAGAGTGCAGTGGCTTTTCACAGGTGTGATCGTAGTGCACTACCGCCTCAAACTGGCAAGTCATCATCCTTCCTCAGCTTCCTGTAGCTGGGATTTCAGGCATGCACCACTGTGCCTGGCTAAACACACTCTTTTGTCAAGTATAAAACTGTGCTATTCATTAGAGTAGCCACTAGCCACCTGGAGCAACTGAGCAATTAAAATGCAGCTAGTCAGAAATGAGATATACCGTAAGTACGAAATATACATCACACTTGGAAGACTTGGTACAAGACATACAATGTAAAATATCTCAACTTTTTGATTAATTAAACGACTTTTTGATATATTGTATTAAATAAATTATTGAAGTTAATTTTACTTTTTTCAATATGGCTACTAAAAAGTTTAAAATTACATATGAAATTCACATTATATTTCAACTAGACAGCACCAGTCTAGAATGTGTATGTTTAAATTTTTCCATTATATAGAGAAATTGTTTCCTTATAAATAATTAAAATTCCTGAAAGTTGCACACCAAGTTAATTAAATGCTGATCTTTAAAAACTGTATGGCTGTACCTTGCTCTTTGGTAATCCATATTCATTCAAACTATGAACTTCTGCTTTTCTCCATTTTACAGCAACAAACCAGCAGGACTTCCTGTGAAATCATGACCCCCATGTGCTCTTTCAGCCCCCATCAATTCGTACCTCTAAGCACCTGAGAGCCAAAGTAAACCACAGGAAACCACAGGTACTAACTCTTTTAGACCTGATGAAGTGTCTCCCAAAGACAGTCTGGCATCGTGAGTACCAGAGTAACTGGCAATCTTTTAGAATGGAGAGAAAATAAGAAATTGGGAAAAGTCTGGCATTTGCTTTCAACAGAGATCAGATTCTGACCTCTGAAAAGAAGAAATAAAGGAAAATGTTTATGATGGGGAGGGATCCAAGGGTAACTTGTGGGAAAGGAAGAAGCTTCCAGAAAAGGAGGTTTGAGATCTAAGAAGAGACTTGTGTATATCTGAGGGAAGAGTTGGAGACAGGTAACCAGGGGAGAAAATCTGGGAAGTTTTGAGCAGTGAAGGTCTGATGAGATGGAAAAGGAGAAAGGACACTAATATTTATTAGGCCTCTACTGTGTGTTAGGTACCTGCACATAGGTTATTCAAATACATGTACGGTCATTTTTGCAGGCAAAAATTGAGGTACAGAAAAATAAAATTATTTTGCTAAGGACACACAACTATTCGGGATCAAAGGTAAATTTATAATCCATTGATTAGTGGGTGGATATCCTTTTAGAGTGTTAAAGATAGATTAAAGTGTGAAACTGCAAGAGTGAAAAATGGGCACACACTTTGAGTAATTTGAGAAAAGTTGAGTCATTTCAATGATAGTCTGTGTGTAATCTGGGTTGGAAAAGTGAAAGCAGGGGGAAGCAGGGCAGGGAATTGTTTGTACTTGGAACTGTCCATGATAACTGTGGGAATACTAACACACTGAAAGCCCCCGGAAGAAATGACATATTGGTTGGCCTTGTAACTAGGCAAAGTTTTGAACTTGACCAGTTCCTTAGCATCCCACTATAGTTCTACAGGTCAAAGCATAGACCTTTGGAGTTTTATATATTTGCCCATAAAAAATGTCAGCATATTTGAACTTCAGCCTCTCACAGATCTGATGGAAACCTACTCAACAGAGATCGGTTCAAGTTTTAGTAAGTTCATCTCTAAAACTGAAGATAACATGAATCACCTTGCCTTCAGAATTTCTAGCTCCGTAATTTGCAACTTATACTATTCCTTCTAGAAATTATTTCATTCTCATTTCTCCTAGACCCTTCAAGTGTTCAAACACCTGTTCTTCAAATATTCACATTTTCTTCACTTCAGTAGACTCTTCCAACCATGGGCTATAAGATAAATTATTTTATTGATGCCCTTCCCTAGTACACTATTGGACTCTAATCACTTAAGCGTTCCATCTATGAGTACATGAACATAGTGGCTGCTGGTGGGAGGCTGAGAGAGTAACCACTGGTGGGAAGTTGGTGATGGGAGTGGGGAAAAACGAAAAACGTCTTACACTCTAACAGGCTTGGCTCACCATCATTTACAAAGTCCTAGTATAACTTTTATTCTTGCTGCTCTTTGGCAGGCTTTTTACATTAACTACTCTGGGTGTTTCCTATTCTGATTTCTTCTCTCTCTCTCTTTTCTCTCTTTCTTTCTTTTTTCTTTTTTTTTTTGACAGAGTTTTGCTCTGTCACCCAGGCTGGAGGGGAGTGGCGCGATCTCGGCTCACTGCAAGCTCCACCTCCCGGGTTCAAGCCATTCTCCTGCCTCAGCCTCCCGAGTAGCTGGGACTACAGGCACCCACCACCACGCCTGGCTAATTTTTGGTATTTTTAGTAGAGACGGGGTTTCAAATGTTAGCCAGGATGGTCATGATCTCCTGACCTCATGATCTGCCCGCCTTGGCCTCCCGAAGTGGTGGGATTACAGGAGTGAGCCACTGCGCCCGGCCTATCCTTCTTTCTTCTAGCTGTTAATCTTGCCTTTCATTTAGCCAAAATCAAGACACTTGGCCCAGGCTTTCTCATTTTCACCTCATTTTCATCAACCACTATCTCTACATGAAGATCTTTTCATCCTTCTCAATGTTTGTGGAAAAGAAAACACTCAAACCCCTTTTTGTTTTCCTAAAAAGATAATTGTTATTATTTACCTTTCTTCTATCATCTTTAATTCTTTCTTTCTGTTGACTCTTCTTTCCATGTCTGATGATGGTTAACTGTTTTTTAAGCTTTGGTAAATCAACAGGAGAAATAATGCATTTTTCTTTAAATTAGCCTTTCTTGAGTTAGGCGATTGAATATTTAAATGTTTAGCAGTCATTTCGTTTTTTACCCAGTGAATTATCTTTTGAAATTTCATGCTTCTCTTCCTAATTATAAATTAGATAAATTTTGCAATTTTTTTGTTTTGAACTTCATTATGAATTAATGTTAAGCATTTGTCTGTATTATTTGTGACAAATATTTTTCTGTTTCTTGCCTCTTAGTAATGTTTTAAAAATGTTAGATTTTTAAAAGTTTAGTTATATTTGTCACACTTGTCACCATTTCCCATTGTGATATCTTTAAGTGCTTATATACTTAGAATGTCATTTGCTCTCTGTATTTCAGATTAAGATATACAGGCATTCAGTGTTTACAGTTAGGTATAGATTCTCAGAAAGGCATGGGTAAATTATTTTGTTATACAGGCACCATAGAGTCCACATACACAAACTTAGGTGTTGTAGCCTGCAACACACCTAGGCTATATGGTATAGCTTATTACTCCTAGTCTACAAACCTATACAGCATGTTACTATAATGGATACTGTAGACAATTGTAACACAACATATTGTAGTATCATATATGACATTTTATGGTGTCATATATGGAGTTTGTTGTTGACTAAAATATCACTCTTTAACACATGACTATACTTTTACGTTATTTCTATTTTTATTATTTTAAAGTTTTGAATGAATGCGTATTTCTTTTACCCTTTCTCATAATATTATCAAATTATCTTAGATCATGATAATTGAAGTCTTGAAATCTTCTTTGACTTGTCTAGCTTAATTCATATGCCATATCATTAATTTAGAAACTATAATCTTCAAAAATTAAATCAAATTTGAGCTGAGTCATTCCATTAGATAATAGTCATAGTAAAGATAAGGATTATGTCATAATTATATCCTCAGCACATAGTATAATCCTTGATTTCAATAAATGTTTGCTGAATTGGATTACAAAATTAGGTTATCACATTAAATCAATGTCATGGTAATTATTTTGTGTATATAATGCAATGCAACGTCTTCCTGAAACTATGCTTTTAACCAAGTCAACCTGTATATCATTCACTTGTCCTCATTCCTTACTTTTATATTCTTTCTTCTTTCTATCCAGCTTCAGACAATGTTGGCATAGTCTCTTTTCTGTTTCTCATTTTAGAATTCAGTTGCCTAATTGAAAGGGCAAATATTTATCTAATGACTCTTCTTTCTGACCACTTTGGGCAACCAATCATCTTCAGTCCCTAAGACTCCCTGTCTGCATGGGATTTTCTATAAAACTGGCTCTATGCATTTATAAATATGGCAGTTCTATTTCCCCATAAGTCTCTACACTTTGAATTTTCTGACATTAGCTGCAGTAAGGAAAACTCAAAAGAAATGGTTGTCTGAGTAATTGCTTATTGAGCATAGATTTTATTATATGACAATCATTTAAATAGTGCTAGTTCAAGCAAAGACCAGAAGGGGTTTAAAGATTCATAATAGGAAATCCTTAAGCAGACTTCATTTGCTAAAGAGTGAAACTTTATAGTTAATACATAAACTGTAAAAAATTAAAAAGGAAAGGATGTCTTTGGAAGAAAAACAAACACATGTCCTGGTATTATTTTTTTTAATATTGGAAAACAGCTTCCTATGTAGTCAGATGATCCAGTTTTCTAAGAGTATGTAGGTTGAGTTTATAATTTAAAATTTCCTGAAGCAAATATAAAGAATGGAGATGAAAAACATACAGTCAGAATGGAAGAAACTGAATAAGAAAGTAACATGAACATATAGATAAACTTAAGTACCAGGTATTGCCTTCTATAGTTTTTTGTTTGTTTTGTTTTGTTTTTTTTTTTAGAAATAGACTTCAGAAAACATAGGTGCATTTGTTAACGCTACTGAGAAGAAAAATAATGGGTTAGAAATTAAAACTGTTTTGGTAAGCCATAAAACAAGATGCGTAGAAAGAACTGGGAGTATGAGACCTCAATGTTTTGTCTAAGGCCATCCCTATTCATTTTCATCCATAAGCCAGGCAAATAAAAGCAGTATAGAAGTATATCTAACCCTGTATAACCCTGAGTTGACATTTTTGTAGGAACCATGCTTGTTTACAGTTTCTATATTTAGTAAGAATGTTATAGTTGTATAACATTTCTCTATGGCTCTTTGAAAATAATAGTAACCACCATTTATTACACACTCACTGCATGTCAGATACTGTGCTAGTTTCCTAAACCAGGTTTCATTTTATCTTCACAGAAATCTTATGATATAATACAAGTATATATTTTACAGATGAGAAGACTGAGGTTTAAGTACCTCAGCTGACGGCTGAAGATCACATAAATATAAATGACAGAGCTGGGTACTCAACTTAAGAAATATGATTTTGGAACCTACTACTATAAAACAAAACCCAATTATCAAGACATGTAAGATCCAACTTCCAAAATTAGTAACATCAAAATTACTGGATATGTTAAGAATATTTGTGTTTATAGGTTTAAGAACTTATTCTTTCTACCACAGATTTAATAATTACACTTATAAGATATATTACATATTTGTTTGCATTAGTAAGTGGTATAATAATAATAATTTATACTTTTTTGATGACTCTGCATTTGAAGATCATCAGTGAAAATGATGGAAGAGGCCGGGTGCAATAGCTCACACCTGTAATGCCAGCACTTTGGGAAGTCCAGGCGGGCAGATCACATGTGGTCAAGAGTTCAAAACCAGCATGGCCAACATGGCGAAACCCTGTCCCTACTAAAAATACAAAAATTAGCCGGGCCTGGTGGTGCATGCCTGTAATACCAGCTATTCACAAGGCTGAGGCAGGAGAATCACTTGAACCCTGGAGGCTGAGGTTTCAATGAGCTGAGATCGCGCCACTGCAC